CTTGACAACTAAAAATTATAAGTAATTGCAACTGAAAGTAAGCTATTTTCCACAATAATATTTTCAGGTCCTGTGAAAACCAAAAAAAATCATGGTTGAAAATTTCGATAAAGTTACATGTATAGAATACAGCCTGAGGATATCATTAATTAAAGCACAGCTAACGAACTGAATTTAGTGAAAATGCACGTAAACAAACTTTGTACATGTGGACAATCCCTGCACAAATAATGATGGGTTAGTTAACATTACATATAGAAAATGTACAGAAATACTAGTGTGGGAAAGCATAGTTTCAGGTCACTGACAGTGTGCAGTGTGAAATTTGAAATTTCCGACAAGCACAAATTAGAAGCTAGCGCGGATTATTAAGTGAGAATTTATCGAGAATATAGACATGAATAATAAAAATATACAAAATATTCAAATGTAAGTGACTGACAACTACTACAAGGCAACGTTGACAACAGTAACTGTAAGAGAATTTTGTATTTTGTATATACAGGTAACCCCCGTGTAACACGGCACTTCTATAGCACAGATTCACTCTAACACGGTTCGAGAATTGGTACCATCCCTCGTATAACACGGATACAACGGATTTACTCTGACACGGTTCGAGAATTGGGTAAAACCCTCGTACAACAGGAAATGTAATAAATTTTTACATACTTAAGTAATAATAGTTCACGAAAATAATAATTTTCGTGAACTATTAGTACTTAAGTATGTAAATTTTCTCTTCTCGCCTTCTGTCGATACACGTGGTCCTTCTCGAAACTTGTTTCAATGTTTTTAGATCGCGACGCTTCTGCTTCTGATGTTGCCGAATGTTTTTCCCTTATTCCATACTTGCTTTATTCTTCATAAGTGCTTAACATTATATAAAGAAATTTATAAAGACCTTTTAACTAGAAGCAAGCAATCTAAAATTACATACATTTTGCAAAAGGTAAAGCATAGATCTGAAGATAATTTAATAGTATTTTTAGTGATGACGAATCAAACATTGTTTAATTTAAATTAATATGTATCACTTAAAAAATTTTAATGAAGATATTTTATCTTAATTATGAAAATATACTAGCATGTTTTTTAATTTTTGGAACCTAACCCTCCTTTTCGTATTAGTTCTTTGTTTCGTAAAACACGGATTCGCATAACACGGCAATTTTTTGGAACGTAACTACCGTGTTATATGGGGGTTACCTGTACTCTCTCTCTCTCTCCATGATTCATACATTTAATATATAATAAATGATCTGATGCATCGTAGATACTTCGTACAAATTCATTGGCAAATGATACAGTTAAGTAAAATTTTGTTTGGACAATAGGTAGTTAAACAAAAGAACTTTCCTTTTTACAGGAGATTTTATTACTTAATTCACTATATATCATGTATTAAAATAAGCTTCAATACCAACAAGCATACCAATAACAATACTTTGTTTCCCATAAAATACAATCGCAATGAATGAATTTCTATGAAAGTGATCAATAGCTATAACAATTCATAAGTGAAAGAGATGATACCTAGACAACAAATGCCACCTGCCAACATGCCCTTTGAGTGTTTGCTCCCTACACTAGATCAGAATTTTCATAAATTTTACTTTTTAATGGATAATTAATGCACAGATTCTCTCTGTCCAAAGTTTACACTCTGTATTTTGGTATTTAACAGAAATACACAAGAAAATAGTTGTTTATTAGTAACACAGTTGAAAACTGTAAAATAGTTTGACAATTACATTCATTCAGTGATATAACCTATACTTACTCAGTTTTCATATGGCATAATAAATTGCCAAATATAAAAATTACTATATTATAAAATAACGCGTCTAGTCCACATCTTTAATTGACTATAAATTGATTAGGCTAATAAACAAGACTATAATAAATTAAAGGGCTTATCCCTAATGTGATACGCTCACCAATTTTTTACGGCCATATTTATTAGGCTAATTAACTTATACTCTAAAAAGATTCATATAACACGTAATCAAAAAGTAGTAAAAATTGGTAAAAGCAGACAAAAAATGAGATTCTTCTAACATATTAATGTTTATGCAGATATTTAAAAGTTATCAAAATAAACAAATGCACTGAATCATATTCAGTAGTAGTAGAGTTTAATATACAATAGACCCCTCTATAAGACAGGTTCCTATAATTATCATTTCTATAAGACGGCGAAAAAATTGCGACAGTATCCGTAAAAAACGGTAAAAAAAACTCCTATAATTACCTAAAAGCGCCACGCTACGGAAAGATTACTATCGTCTGTACAGTATTATACATAAATTATATATAAATTAGGTACTGTACATATAATTATATATTAATTATATATAAATTAGGTACTGCATATATAATTATATATTAACCTTATTTATTGTAACTTTATTATAATTATATATATTTTTTCCGCTGAGTAGCGCCACGCTACGCAGATTTTACGCTAACTATCGTCTGTACAGTATGTAAATTAGGTACCGTAAGTCTAATACAGTACTGTAATTTTATACATTTCTTGTGAAAGAAACATTTCTTATTCAACGGCGATTAAAATTATTTATGTTAATGATGTCTCCAAAGTTCAACGAAGTTTTCACAGAAAAATAACATCAGAATTTGCGGCTGCGGTTTGCTGCGCTGTTCCGCGACGAAAACAAGCTTGAGCAACGGCGATGTCGAATGGTGCACACTCGGTAAGTAATCCTACAATTTTTTGTTTATAGCGTAGTGTATACGGATTATTTTCCCAGATAATATACGTATTTTGGAAATGTTGAGTCGGATTAATCTAGAATCGATTAATTTTATGGAAGAAAACCTTTCAAATAGCCGTAGTCCGAAAACTTCACACGTGTCGGGCTGTGATTGGCAAGGACTCGTAAGAAATCGATTCATAAAGAATTGAACGTATCTACCGTCTTATAGGAGGGTCGACTGTATAAGATATAATCTATAATATTTCGCGAAAAGCCAAAACATTCAATAATTTAGAATTATTGATAGTTCCACACAACACGTTTTAAAAGTTACAGATTAACCTTAAACTGATGTGAGTTGCACTTATTGTGTTAATGGACCAATATTATACAGTAGACCCTAATAACACTGTTGATAATTCCGTATTATATGAATTCCATGTTGTACGAGTCACATACATTTTACAAATACGTGTGTTGGGCTGTGAACGGCTGACGTATTTGTAAAATCTAAGTGACTCGTACAACATGGAATTCTTATAATACGAAATTATCAACAGTGTTATAAGTGGGGAGTCTACTGTATATATATTATATTATTTTTCAAATTTGATTATTTTTTGTTCGATCCCGTATACACTTATTAACTTATTAATACACTGTCAATGATCATTTATTTTGTTTCAACAGAAGTGGTTTTTTTGAAAGTATTAGAAATATCTCTTACAAAACGTTCACTTGGGATACAAAAACAATAATTGTTTCGTCAAAAAAATTTAACACTTTATTAAATCTAATAATGTACTTTTTCATGATTATGTATTAAATTTAATGTACTTTTAGGTATAAAAAAACTGACACTCGCTACTTCCCCCAAAAATTTTATTTACTCAACATTTAACGCACACTTGATTCGAGTGAATGATGCATATTGTAACTTAAATGAATTAAGTTCGCTTATTTCCTATACTTTTTTCCCATTTCGAAACAAAAAACTAATAGACAGAGGAAAAAACATGCAACATTTCACTGGAAACAAAATTGCGTAACTACTGTTGTGGGTGCAATGGACACATACAAATCTTATAAATCTACATCGTTGTTACACGCGAAACACGTCTGCCTAGCAAAATGTTAGTCAGTAGATTTGTTAAGCTGCTGAATCGCATGTGCCATTAAAATAAGCACAGTGGGCTGATAAACGACATCGAAAATGTGACACGGGTCCAGTATCAGCATCAGTTATACTTCTACTATATTTGTATATATGACATATGTAACCATTTCTTTACACGAATTTATAATTATCTACCCGAATTAATCGAAATTCAAAATTGACAGTAAATAAAACAGAGATTTTGAAGTGAATACATTTACAGTAAAACCTCGATAATCCGGACCTCTATTATCCGGATTTTCGATTAACCGGATTGTTCAAAATAAACAAAATTTTACGAATTTGCTGATTTGCACCTGGCGAATAACGACACTGTTTATGTATGTGATGGAATGCATAACTTTTTTCGTTTCAACATCGTCCCACCTAGCACAGTGGTCATAAACTCAAACATATTTTACGTTGTAATAAAAATGTAATTTGACATACGTATTTATAAATAAATTATATTGAAATTACATTATTTCTATGACCAAGGATAGCGTAAGGTATGGACGACGTGGGCCATCGCCTATGCCTCGCGGTCCGACGGGCCTCACGCCTTGAAGGTTTATGCATTACTTAAAAGCCGCGAACGCGACGAAAAAATTTTACTCGTTATAAAACGATAAATAGTTTGTCAAATTTTTATTCATAAAAATGCAGTTTTAACTGCTTTTTATTTTATAAAATCCGTCTTCTTGCGCCACCAGAGGGCCTGTTAAACAATAGGTACTTTGTTAGCGCTGGTAAGTAGTCGCCCAAATTCAATACAAACATTTGTTTTTTGAAAATTTGATCACGATTTAAATACAGTATTTATTTTTAATATTACCGATATGTCATCGAAAAGAAAACGTGTTGTATTATCATTAAAAGACAAATTAATAAATTTGTTTTGATTATCCGAATTTTTCCTTATTCGGACTACCTTAATCCCCAATTAGTCCGGATAATCAAGGTTCTACTGTATCTGTAATTGAATTACATATACATAATAATTTTTTTATCGTCATGTAACTTTATTACAGATGAAAATATTAATACACTATGTATATTTATATTTATAAGAATAATAACTTCAACTTACATTTTGAAATTTGCTAACATCGTTTGCTATAAGATTTACGATTTACCCAACATTCGATTTTTCGAGAGATGAAGGACTTAACCTCATTGCCTATAAAAATTTATGTATAATAAATAAATATTCTCAAAAATATGTTAAGTTCCAATAACAAAGTAATTTTTAACAAAGTTATTACACAAAGAAATGAAATAAAATTTTATAACTTTTCAAAAACTGTTACTATTATTTAAATTAATATTAAATAACGGGTTAATTAAATGCTTGGCATCACAAATACACTACTTTTTTCTAAATTGGGAAAAATTGGCCATGGCATTAAAAACTACACTTATATCTTCAATTTCTGTATTTTGCATACTAACTAACAATATAAAATTTGTCTTGATTCAAAATAATTCATTTTAATGTTTAGTTTATAATTTTTAAAAAAAACACGAAAAATAAACGTATCGATGTTCAAATGTCTGTAAATTAACTCTTTACCTAGATTTACATAGGGTTTGAGTGATATTTAAGAAGGTTTAACTGTCAAAGTCAAAATAACAAAAGCTTTCTATATTGTCTGCTAAGAAAATAATGCACAAAATTGCACTAGGCATAAACAAGGCTCATAAACTGCTAAATGTTTGTTAGACTTGTTTATATAAAAATAAAGCAAAGAGTTTTTGTTTATAGAGTACTAAATGTTTTAGTACTCTATAAACAAAAACTCTGCTTTATTTTAACTCGGTCTAATAAAACTAATTGTTATATTACACTCAGAAAAACGTTAAAGATGACATTTGATAACCAATGAGACAGGAGTAATTTCTATGATGTTATTTTAATACTTTATTATAAGTTAGTTGCACAATTTAACACATTAGATATTTTAATTAAAAAGTACCTACTGATCAAACTGTTACAAAAAAAAACATCAAACTTGTACACGATTTATTAACTAATTTACTAACGCGTGTAAGGCAGAAAATTTGGAATGTGGTAATAATAAAATATGCGTAAATTAAGAGCTATATAAGTTAAAAACTCTAAACGAAATTACTAAATAAAGAATTTGCTGAAGATACTAAATGGTATAACTACATAATAAACAAAAATATTAATTGTTGGAAAGCAAAATGTACTAAATGTTTTGCGATGATAGTCTATCATCCTGAGAAAGCCATGTAACAAGACTACAAGCCGAAAATTGCGATGTCACAAACAAAGACAATATCTAATTTCAAATTAATTGGAATTAGGCCAGACATTATAGAAAAGAAAATAATATAAATAATAGTACTATTGTACAGCTATATATATTCTAGATCGATAATTTATAAAATCGCGTTTATTATATGCAAGAGTAAAAGTATATCGCACTTGCAAATTAAATTACCGACATTAAAGACATTGAAAAAACAAATTCTGTAAATAATGAAAAATAGTTATTTCAATTTTTCTTGTAATAAGACACATAAAGTGCCATTGTTTTCGAATACTTTTGTGATCACCGTGAAATCATAAATTTTACAAACTAATTTTAACAGGTCAAATGAATAATAAACAATATATTAATAAGTTTATTATGTAGATTATAAAATTAATTTATTATCTTTAATTAAGTTAACTGTATAAGTAGTTCGTTATAAGTAATAAATTTCAGAATATTATTTTCAGGAAAGAACATCCAAGTAGTGCGATATAACATGTTATATATACAGTAATGTGTCAGTTTACCTTACCGTGTAAGACGACACTTGCCTATGTTAATAAAGATAAAAGAAATATTGACATGTAAAGATATGTTTCCAAAATAATATAAATAGCTATTTTTTTTACCTACGACTTTATACCTTGTATTTCCAAAATTCAAATAAATATTAAATTTTACATGTTTATATTTAATAACGTGATACAGAAGTGGCAAAATGTGAGAATTTAAGTATATTTAATCGTAATTTTATGTTTAAGGTAAAGACAAATATCAAATTGAAAAACACTTTCATGCATTTTATATGTACTGTTTGGTTTTGTACGAAGCAAGCACAGAAGTCTGAAGGGCTCATTTTATTAACTTGCTATTGTCATTGTTTCTAAGTATCCAACTCCAACGACTACAGAAATAATTTTGCTACATTGCAGTTAGGGCATCCAGGGAAATACAATCAAGTCATATAAATAATTGCACGTACATAATTGTACTAAGCGAGGCCATTTATATGGCAGTAGCCCACCAATATTTTTATCATTATGTCACCTTTGCTTATTATAGTCATTGATAGTAGCAGATCCTATTAAAATATTTATACACTTAACATGAAAAAAAACACAAAACTGAATTGAACATTTTGTATCCATGTTAAGTAAATTTAATTCTATAATGCGAACATAAAACGCCATATTACTGTAGTGTGTAAATTAACAACGAATAATAGAAATCTTAAGCACATAGCTGAACTTTTATATGAAATTTTCTTTTCTAAACAATATAAATATAATAATATGTTCATAATACATTATAATTGATACTCACCTTTCTATATATAATCGTGCAAAAAGCTATTTTTAATTTCATTCCAATAATCTCTGTCATAAAAAAATTAGTATTATGTGAAAACAAATGAATCGCAATCATGCCAAAATATCCGGCAATGATTAAGTAAATATTATACGGATTCCATTTCGACCTATTTTCAAAATAATGTACTGTTAATCCTAAAAAGTATAATTCTCCTGCAACTACCGCCGTTTCCTGCAAATATAAATACATATCCGTAATTTAAATTATTTTAATATATGATTAACGTATAATCAAAACAATTGTGAAGTACCTGAACCAATGTAAGTAAAATTAGTATTAAAAATTTCCATCCAACTAATCGTAATACAGCTTTCAGTATGTTTGGATTTTTCTTCTGTAGTTCTACGTTCCACTCTCTGATAAAAAATTGCAATGAAAACTAATAAATTAAAACAATATTTCTAATGAATAATTCAATTCTTTTTAATTTATAAGTTATTAATAGCGCTTTCAATACTATCATTTTATTATGAAAACACTATAAGGGTTTATTAATCCGGCACCTGTTAACATGAAGTCTGTCAATTAATAATCACTCATTCTAGTAATGTTCAAATCAAAATGTGTTTAGACATGTAGTGTGCTAAGACCCCAAGAAACAAGCTAAACCATTTGAAGAGTGAGGCTGTGCAACGTTGCTACATGTCACAAGATGGATGTAATCTTAACTCAGCATAGTCATATATAAGTAATATGGGGATGGGATTCTGCTCCATTTCCATACTATTTATATATACATATATAAAATAGGATAAATGTTTTTAAATTAATATAAAATTTTAAAAATTCAATGAAAAAGTTAAGAAATTAAAATGTTTTTTGTTTAAAAAAAACTAAAGAAAATAAAATGTTATCTTCATATTTCATCTCAAAAATTCTATTAACTCACAAAAATATGTTTAAATAACAGTAAATATGAAAAAAGTCAAACAAACTCAATAATAAGAGCTTTAAAATTACTTCCATATTCATCCATACCCTATATATAAATTTTAAATCTTTCATATCATCTAAATCTTTATTCTTTTCGTTTTTATTTAATCTAGGAAGAAAAACTTGAAAATAATTTAATTCTCTATCCCTAAGAACTACTATTTTTTATGACCAAAACGTGTTCATATTGCCTTCATATAAAGAATTGGATATTCATAATCAATTTCTAACTCGTTTAATTTCCTAGTTGGAGTATTACCAATATCGTTTAGTGTCTCCATTAATATAGGAAAAAATTAATCAATATAATTTATAAATATTGAAATATTATATATTGTAAGACTTTCTCTATAGTTTTAACAGTCTGTTACTTTGAATGGAATAGTTTCATTTCTTCTTTCACTAATAAATTTAGCTTTAGCTTAAATTTATTAGTTCAAGCTTAAATTCTATATAGAAAACTATTTATCAATATGTAAAAGGTTACCTTGTGGTGTACATAAAAATCTACCATAATGTGTATCAACATAATCAAAGATATGTAAATGCCCCCTTCCATTCTTCCAAATATAATAATTCCTTACTTCCCCACCATAGTGAATTGATACCAACTCAAGATTACTAATATCAATTTCCATTTATATAGGAAAAAATTTAATCAATATAATTTATAAATATTGAAATACTATATTTTTGTAAGACTTTCTTTTTAGATTTAACAGTAATTATATCTCTTACTTTGAATGGAATAGTTTCATTTATGACTTTCTTTTTTATAAAATAACATACTAATTTTTCATTGATAAATATACCCACAGATATTGCTAAATTAGATGTAAAATAAATCTGACTAATAAAACCATTAGATTCAGACACATACTTTCTATAATAATTTTTTATTACTAGCATCAATAGGAAGATCGCTTAATGTTAAATAAAATTGCTCATCTTCATCTGGTTTAGCTAAATTCAGAAAGCATTTTAAGATGAATGAATGGTTAATTTTGAAATAATTTTCGAGATATGATTTTGTAACTGCATCCATGTCATTAATTGGATTTTTTAAACTGGTTATTTTTTTATTATCTGAATCATAAAAATTATTTTTCAACAAAACAGCGGGAACATATAATCCATTTTCAGTTCTTGAAAGCATATTGTTGTCTTTTGTATCAACTTGGCTATCTACATAAAATTTTGTTGCAACATCAAAGTCAGATGTAGGTTGTGAAACATTTATTATTTTTTTATTTTTTTTTATCAAACACATCTTCACCCTTTATGGTCAAAGCATTATTCTTTAAATATCTTATATTCACAACATTTTTGTCTTCTGTTGGATTATTAACATTACCAATTCTTTTGTTTTTTGCATTGAAAACACCATTAATATATTTTCAGACACTTACTGTTTAATGACAAAAGAATTTTTCCCGTTTTTGTTACGAAATTATTTACGCTTAAATTTAAATCTTTAATCATTTTTTTCTGAATTAGTTTTATCTGCTTCTTATATTTTAAATTTGTTAGCAAAAGTTTGAAAATCTTTATCTAATTAATTGATTATTTTTAATTTATTATCAATATATTTCTTGGTTGCAGCATCGTTTTCATTTATTGGATGTTCACAATATTTTAAGATCTTATTTTGCATATCATAATTTCTATCATACATTAATTTAAAACCCTTACCCGGAGGACCAAGAGGACCTTTTTTTACTTCATCATGATAATGACCAAAAGAAAACCATTTAGTTACTTTAAAGTTTTAAAAGTCCTGTTGTACATATTCATAAATCCTTTTCTTTTTTCGACTAAAATAAAATAAAACCTATACGGTTTAGCAGGTGTTTCTCTCAATTGCCAAAAGAGTTCAACTTTCAAATTATCTACATTATTATAAGAGGGATGATTAAAAACATCGAAATAAATTATTGGATACAGTCTTCCAAAGTTTGTATAACTTACTATACAACCAGACTCTGTGTTATTGGTATTTAATCCTGCTGCTAAAAAATCAGGATAATATCTCGAATAATCTAATTCTCCGGGTTTAAGGCTAACATTATAATCTTCTGTTGGATATTTATCATTATTAATTCTTAACCAACATCTCATCATGTTTGAGTTATCGAATATCATATTATTTTGATTTCTGATCGTTTTCCGTGTGGGGTTACAAAAATATTTCTGATTTGATCTGTGGTTGTATTTACAATTATTGTTTCGCTAGAACCATTTTGAACGTTACTTTTAATTAATCTAACAGAACACCAATTAATTTCTATAACTGATGAGGGATTCAGAGATATGCTATTAAAATTAACTTATTATACTATGAAAATTTATTTAAATAACTATTAACTTATATCCTGAACCAATGTAAATAAAATNATAATATTATATACTATAATATAATAATTATTATAAACTATAATTTATTTAAATAACTAATAACTTATATACTTTTAAAATTTAAAATACTATTAAAATTAACTCTGAATATAACTGAATATTTAGTAACCAAAGAAAAATATCAAATATTATAACTTTATAATTTGGATTGCCATCGTCGGTATAGATCATATCATTATTCGAATTTCTCCAAAACACAAATCTAACATCGATGTTTGATATTATTTTCCTAAAGTCGTTGAAAACTCCAAAACATATGTTTAATTAGTATCCCCACAGTTTGATCTTTTTACTGTTTTTTGTTAATATCCATCTTTCTGTAAATCCTTCGTTATAATTTGCATTTTTCTTTAATCCTTCTAAAAAGTATCCATTTTTTCTATATTTCCGAGAGATTGATCATCGGGTCTATCAAATATTAAAACTTGCCTATCTGGAGATTCTGAGGTTCAATGAAAAACAGCATATTGGTTGCTTCAGAGGTAGAATAATTTTTGTAAAGTTTATAAGACCATTAATGTGATGGACTAAAAAGAGTAATTCAATTTCTTCAATTAGAGTCTTACCAATGTGTAATTCTGATATTAAGAACAAATTTCTAGTATTCACTAAGGTTACATTTTCACTTCCAGTTGAAGAACCATCCTGTTTCATAATTTTCACTTCTGGACAGATACAACCATTGCAATATAAAATCATATTATTTACATCTTTAATATTAAATTCATATTTAGCTAATTCCTTTTCATCAACAGTAACTTTATCTTCTACTAGCTGCAAGGACCCGCTTCGCTGGGTTTTTATTTGTGGGTAAAAAGTAATGATAGTGAAGATTAAGATAATTGCATTATAGCCAATCTTACCCGTTTTCACAAAATGCAAGAATTAGATCTCCCGTTTTCAGACGTTTCCAGAGAATTTTTACATGAGCATAAAAATATGTTCGATTTCTTGCAAAAGCACAAAAAACCGCCTGTAAATCTTGCATGCCGCTTTATATTAACACTTCCTGGTCCCGATTCTATTTCTGAACGTCTCCTGTTCACGTCCACTCAAACGAACTATTTTCAACATTTCTGGAACGTTTACGATCGTTCTATAATCGAACCAATATTCGAATTTCATGTTCGAATTTAATTCGAATAAATTCGAACAAAACATTCGAAATGGAAATCCACTTTCAACCACTTTCAGCCCCATATCTCCCGCACCCTTATAGCTATCGAGACGCAACCCCCCTGGTGCACGAATGGAGACTTAGGGCTACCACCACATACAAATATTATTCACGTGCGATGTGTAGTTTTGGCGGAAAAGTGAAATATAGGAACATACATGTCCATTTATATATATATATATACTTTATCTTCTGCATGCTGTTTGTACTCAAAACTTTCGATTTCGTTGTTGAAATAATTAGAAAGAGTTAAATCTCAAAACTTTTCCATTTATAAGTATAAAAATTTCTTGAATCCTGTTTTACATTAGCTTCGCTTACGTATAATATTCCTTACTCTATCTTCCACACTTTTAAATAAAATACTCTCGAGTTTATTTTTAACCACAGATTTGGCTTGTTGTAATAACTTGTTGCCAGCTGTCTTAATTGCATTGATAAATATATTTCCTCCATAATATTTTTCACTTCGAACAGCCTATGTTTATTATAATTCATTTATTTAGTCTAAAATTAAACGAAAAACAACTCTCTGTTTATTAAGGTCAATTAAATTATTATCCTGATCAGTTATCCACATTCGAATTCTATAAATATAATGATTGCTATTGATGTCAACAAATATAGCATTAATCTTTTCAATTTTTCTTAAACTTTCAGGTGGATGAGACGGTGTGTAAGAATAAAGAATATCACTCGCAAAATCATTGTGCCCTACTCCACTGATTACATCGCAATGAATATGAATATCATCGATACCTTTTGAAATATCTGCTATGTATTTTCCTTTCTGTTCTTCATCTTCATATA